GCTGTAGGAGCATGAGTCGGCTGCCAGGTCTTGGGTGGGAGGTCTCCCCAGGCTATGGTCCCCACCAATTAGCTGTTTTATTAACTCTGGGGAGCAGCTCTAAATTATGGTCATTCGAGGCTACTGGACTTTCTTAAGGATAATGCAGTCAGGTCTCATAACACCATTGGCTGGGATATATCAAACCTAAAAAATCCAAGCAGCTTCAAGAAGAGGCAGGCAGCGCAGGTACTGAGCAGGGAACCCCCCATCGGTTAGCCGCTGCGGGATACACTACAGGTTTATCACTGTTTAAAAGTAGAAGAAGGAAACCTTTCCTGAAAGAGATTTGGACCTCATTAATACTCCTCTTTTTGAAAATGCCAGTGTTTCCCAATGGTGGTCCATTGACCTCAATACTTTCTCCGGCCAGAACAAGTGTGCATCCTGTGATATCAAAAGCCTTGCTCTGTCTACTTGTTCCAGTTCTGCAGTCACAAAGTATCAATGCCATTGGATCAGTATAACAGCCAAGGAAGTCGCATTTGTAGAAGGAAAGCTTGACTTTGCCACCATTTATAATTCTTTAAGTACAGGTTTCTAAATATGATCTAGTGCATTTCACAGAAAATGTGAAAATCATCCATAATGTGATGTATAGTGCATGTGCATGTTGAGATAAATCATGGAAGCACAGTGGCTCAGTGGTTAGCACTCTTGACTTGCAGCACTGGGGGCCTCAGTTGGAGTCCCAGTCAAGACACTATCTGCATGGGGTCTGCATGAGTACACCAGTTTCCTTCCACACTCCAAAGACAAGCTGGTAGCTTAATTGACACCTATCTAAAAAAAACTAATTGATTCCTTTATGATATTCTACTAAGTGTGCCCAAGATGGCTTCCCAACAGCAGATAAAGCACTTTGACTTCCCAGGGAGAAAAGCATTATAGAAAAATAAATTATTAATGTAAAATTATCAGAGGAAGCATTGTCCGTGGTCACAAAGATCCTGCCTGCTCTTCGAAGAAAAATCTGTTCATGTAACATCATGATGCACTAAGTGCGTGCCAAAATTCTCTTCTTGCTCCAACTGCTAGATGTCACAGAACATGATATATTTTCCACAAAACCTCTTTATATCAAATCAAACTATTTTGCTTCCAAAAACTCCACCTAGAAAGTTCTGAAAAGGTTTGTTAGATTTTTTTTGTCTTAAATCTGTTATGCCACCCTTCCCCCCATGAGCATTGCAGAGCATTCCCAAGATAGGAATGTGTGTCCAAACATATTATATTTACTCAACTTCCATCTCCACAGCAAGGAAGACGGAGTTACAATATGCATCTGGTTATATTACAACATAACAGCAACTTGCAGAAACTTGTCCAGAAACTTTGCAGATTATGGACAAACCCTAAGTGAAAGGGCGCAGTGTGCAAGATCTCTTTCTTAAATACTACACTCAATTCTCGCTATCCACATTATCTCACTTATAGGAAATGTTTTTAGGAAAAAAATCCTAAAAAACATCAATAAGCGATCGTATCATCTTACGGCCCCCCCGGAGAGTGTGCTAAATGTTGTAGGCTAATGGCTTCAACGGCGAAGCGTCTAAAATTAATTCCTGATCTAATTTGCGAATGATTAAGTTTGTTGCTATTTGCGACTGCGGAAATAAAGTCAAAAACAAGTCAAAAAGAAAGCAAAAGCAGCTAAGAGCTTCCCGATACTTCCTCCAGTGCAGATGCTGTAGGAAAGTTGGCCCCTAACATCCTATCGCCCTGAAGTTTGCCTCTTTTGTTTTGCGAATGAATGCAGATGTCACATCTGTCCCCGTCCCTCTTACTTCGAGATGCAGCTTGCTCTGAAGACGTCACCACTTGTCCCAAGAAGCAGACAGGAACCAGAAGGTGGACTATAGAAAGCATTGCTGGAGAGGAAGACTGGACTCTGGACTTAGCACAGCAATTGCTTGCTTAAGGCGGAGTTGAAGCTGGAATGAATTGTGAACTTCCAGCAAACTTTTTATAGAGAGAGGGGGAAGCCCTAAGCTGTGTAGCAGGCAGGGTCCCCCCTCTAAATAGGGGAGGGGTCTATGTGAGTCACTTCTAGCCCTCTGTCAGTATTCACACATCAGCCTGCTTATCCATTCTCATTATGCAGAAGCACGTCATCCATCCAGGGAGGAGAGTTTTGTAACAGTTATATTTAGTCTAGAGATCTCCATTTACTGGGTGGTGTCACTGTCAGTTAGGAAATGCATAATGGTTAAACTTTTGTTGATGCCCACACTGGGGTCAACGCACTGGATGAAAAAAAGTTACTAATAATGTCATCTTTACAGGGAAAATGACATCGCAGGTTGACGTGACTTGGTTAAGCAGAGGATGTTTTTTTTTTTCATCAGCAGAGAAAGTTATGAAAGTAAAAGTGTCAGAATGTGTAATTATGACCGAGTTAGTCATGGGAGATTTCCCTGGAATTTTGTTGAGCAACGGACAGCAATATGTTAGGTTGTTACAGGGGTCACAATTCATTTGCACCCTTAATTTAAAGGGTTTGTCAACCTGAAACTCATATTTACTGGGGAGTGAAACCACCTGACAGTTTTCTTTTGTCTCTCAGGTGTTCTATCAAAGATTGTGACTGGGTTGGAATGTGTGACCGGTCACGTGGTCACACATTTTAACGTAGTCACGCCCACTTTTTCTGCGGTGGAATATGTGACCGGCAAAATGTGAAGAATTCCAAAGATTTCTCAGCTGTTCCAGGGCAGATCGGCATCGCAGATGGTACGTGCAGGAGAAACGATCTGCCCTGGAACAGCTGATCGGTCTTGAAATGTCACTTTTATCCGACATGGTGGAATGTGAGATCGCAGTCACAAAGTCAGATAAAAGTGACATTTCAAGACTGAGCAGCTGTTCCAGGAGAGATCGGTTCTCCTGCACATACCATCTGCGATGCCGATCTGCCCTGGATCAGCTGGAATGCTTCACTTTTTGCGAGTCACATATTCCACTGCCGAAAAAGTTGGCGGGATCACGTTAAAATGTGTGACCACGTGACTGGTCACACATTCCACCACGGAAAAACTGGGAGGGATTCGATTAAAATGTGTGACCACGTCACCGGTCACACATTCTAACGCAGTCACAGACTTTGATAGAACACAGGGACTCTATGGGTGAGATATCTGGGTTGTTCCCGGGACGTGCACACCTGCTGTGCCCAATATGTGCCTAATGAAGGGACCCTAAGTGGCCCCGAAACATTGCCAGTATTTCACAAGAAGTCAATAAAAAGATGCATTTGGTGACACATTACTCCATACTTTGACATAGCGGCATCATCCGCGCTCACTTCAGCATCCATTTGAAAGGGGCATATCGCTAAGGAGTGCAGTGGGATTTCCACACAATATGGTGGGCTGCCACCATCCTTGCTAGATTTTTATTTACTTCATATTAAAGCCCAAATGAACCTTAAGTTTATAAATCAGCTAAATATATTTCTGGTGCATCAAAACAAAGGGTGTTCAAAGGTACAAATCAACTTATTTCTTAAACAGCCACAACTTGAGTAGAAAAGCCTGTCTTCTGCCAACAGCTTTACAGTGGGACCTTTGATCTCTGTGGGGAAGCCGTGGACTCTATACAGAGGTCTGATGTGCCCCCTACTCCGTCAGACCTATAGTATTGCGGTCAGCAAATCTCATGTTCCCTGCTGATTGGAGAGCTCTAGATCTAACTCAGATGTGATAGACATCTGCAAAGAGACCACCACAGAGAGCATGTGTCCCACATTGAAGTTGCTGGCATGGGACAGGCTTTTCTGCTGCGGCTGAGGCTGCGGCTGTTTTCTAAAGAAAACAAATTGTAAGACTTTGCAGAACTTTTGTTTTGGTGCACCTGGAATCTACTATGCCAATCAAGCTGTTATGAAGTATATAAACAGTTTAAGTTTAGAAGAAACCGAGAAAGTTACAATGTTGCACTCTAATCACTGGGAGGAGACTGAGGAAATGCTTTCTCTTGCCTGCGGCAGACTGATGACATCATCTCAGCCAAGGCAAAGTTGCCTGAATTGAGCTCAAAAGCTGTTTTTTAATGATAACAGGATCAGCTTTTCTGAAACATTATGCTATTGCTGTATAGTATTGCATGTCTGGCATTTATTCAGGGAGATTTGTAAAGTCACAAAAAAATACACCTTAAAGCGGGTGTCATCAACCCGTGAATTGTGATCTACCTATTGATCATGGGCAAGCCACAGGTAGATTGTATCTCTGCCATGCTGACCCTCCGTCTGGAGTGCTACACCACCCCCCCACCCCCAAGTAGTACTGGTGCAGTAAAGCGACATAGCTACAAGCTCTTCAACACTAATCCTCCTATCGCCACCATCCTATGCACTTGCATGTGATATCACATAAAAGTGTGGATCAGCAGGGATCAGAATGCCAACACAGTTTGGCTCACTGCTGCTTCCCTGCATCACCCTGCACATGGAGAGGGAGGAGATGAGGAGTCAGAAGGGGGAGGAAGAAAAAGTATTACTCCAAGCCAGAGGAAGTAAATGCTGGCATGCAGGGGAAACTGGCAGCTGTACACAGGGCACATTGCATTAGCAACTACTGACCCTTGCACTGTGCGTTACAAACTACTGACCCCTGCACTGTGTGTTACTTACTCTTGTCATTTGAACTGTGCGTTACAAACTACTGACCCCTTCACTGTGTGTTACAAACTACTGACCCCTGCACTGTGTGTTACTTACTCTTGTCATTTGAACTGTGCGTTACAAACTACTGACCCCTTCACTGTGTGTTACAAACTACTGACCCCTGCACTGTGTGTTACAAACTACTGACCCCTGCACTGTGTGTTACAAACTACTGACTCCTGCACTGTGTGTTACAAACTACTGACCCCTGCACCGTGTGTTACAAACTACTGACCCCTGCACTGTGTGTTACAAACTACTGACTCCTGCACTGTGTGTTACAAACTACTGACCCCTGCACCGTGTGTTACAAACTACTGACCCCTGCACTGTGTGTTACAAACTACTGACCTCTGTACTGTATGTTACAAACTACTGACCTCTGTACTCTGTGTTACATATTACTAACCTTTGCACAGTGTGTTACTTACACCTGACCCACAGTGTTACTTACTCCTGGTCCTGGCACTCTATTACTTATTGCTGACCCCTGCACTCTGCGTTACTTACTACTGACATCTGCACTGTATGTTACTTACTATTGATCTCAGCCAGACCAGAACATAGCCCAGCCAGGCCAGAACTCAACCATACCACACCTCAAACAGCTAGCCAGCTGGGCTAGAACACAGACCAGCTAGTCCAGAACTCAAACCAGCCAGTCTGGCCAGAATTACATCAGACAACCATGCCAATAATGAGGCCAACTGGGCCAGAACTCATTGCTGTCAGCCAGGCCAGAACTCAACCAACCAGCCAAGCCAGAACTCAAATTGTGAATATAAAAGAATCTAATTTTTAAGGTAGGCTAAGTTTATATTTTTATAGTGATATTTGTTTTATTATATTTTTCTAAGTTTTCTCCATGCCATCCTTACTTTCTATTGGGGCCTTGTTAGTTAATCTCCTCTGATCTCTTCTATGTTGTCAGGTATATCTCCACCTCTTAAAGGTTGCCTACCCCTGCTTCCAAGCAAACCTGTTCATAGCCTATTCAGGACAAAGCCACACATTTGCTTTAAACCTCCCCCTGCACCCCTAACAGCATATTATTACATTTCCTTTGCTCTCCTGATACTCAGATATTACCTGGTACATCCAGGAATGGAGGAACATGTGACTTACTCCATGTGAGTGACAGCACTGGGCCAATCAGTTGAGTCAGGGGAGTCCACGTGTGAGCCAGGACGCTGGTAACTCATGCCCTACATGAAGCTTTGCTCTCATTGGCTGAAGGGAGTGGTGGAGGAGCAAAGTAAACCATGTTCATCTATAGAGATCTGCATTAGTGTTAACCTGTTGCTTTGCCCTGCACTCATGTTTAATCTGCACCCACCCATGTGACATAATATCATTGCAATGTTCAATGAAAAGTTACATCTCTTTCCATGAAAATACTTGTGTCCTTTGTGATATGTTTGGCATGTCATTATTCATTTTAATACCAAACAGTTATGAAACTATTCAGTAATGCAAAAACATTGAGTTCTACTTGCCCCAAAGGCTGTTATTTGAGACATGGCTATAAACAATCCCATTAGAGAACTGGCACATGTAGAAGGTAATCATTTTAGGGTGTGTTTTTTGTGCAAATTGATTGAATGTTAAATGTTTCTGCCAATCTATGAACAGAACCAAGCTCTGATTATCATGCAATGACCCATTTACCCAATGTGTGATGTACTAAGGATAACATTGTAGCATGTCTTGGTCCAGGAAGGACAAAGAATTTTAGGCCTCCGGTGCAAAGACTGTCTTTTTCATGAAAGGGCTAAAAGTTGCAAAGCGTGCTGCTATGCCACAGTGATTGGTGACCATGCTGAACGTGGGTATTATCTTCAAACAAAGTTTTCTTACCCTTTTGCCCCCACCCTCCTGAGCTGAAATAGCCTCCCCCCAAAGCTTCGTACATACATAGAGTTCTCTCCCCCAAGGTCCCCTGCAATGTTTTGTGCTGCCTTTTTCACCCCATTTCCACGTATGCACAGTAGAGCACATAGACTTCTATGGGGCAGAGATCCCCTCTTACACTTTCTCCATGGGAAATGTTTACCTATAGTCCTGTTTTGGTGGCAACTCAAAACATCAGATTTACACCTTTTCCTTATTACCAATATTGGTGATGAGGACAATTAGAGAGAGTGAATCTCCCTAATGGGGACAGCGATTCTAAACTCTCATCACTCTATACAAATCTAAAACAAAAGTTTTGCCTTTAGTCATACTAATACTGCCAACAGAACCTATAAAACCTCTCTAGTTCCCTGTGGAGCAATAGGCGTAGGAAGGGACTAGACATGTGTGATTCGTTTCGTTATGAATCGAAATTCGTACGA